CGAGAGCTCTTGAGGAGTAGAGTTCGCCTATTCCCCTCCCTTCCTATTTCATTCACTTATACAAAAGTTATTTTCGAAAAATCGATTTTTAGCACCGTAATTTTTCGTCTTTTTCAGCCACGATTTTTCTATAAAGAACTCCATTCAGGCCAACTTGTTGTACACCGTTCAAAAGCTTATAATGAGTATAATCCACAGACACCCTTCCCATCGAGACACAAAATCATTTACAAGAGTTATTTGATTTTTAAAACCTTGATTCATCCTGATTTTTTACATTTCAGCAGACTGATGATTCCATGGCACGTCGTTCCAGGCCAGCATACTATATACCAATCGAAAGCTTTTGGTGAGTGCAATTCACGTACACCCTTCCCATCGAGATACAATATTATTTACAAGAGTTACATAATTTTGAAAATCCTAATCTTATATATAAAGCTGAATGTCTGTTTGTCTGTCTGTCTGTATGTATGTATGTATCGTCCATTCATGACACGCAGAGACTGGGCGCCATTGCGTCCGACGAAGATAGTTTGTGCATAGGAGAGACAGCCGACGATAGGAGAAACGAAAGAGCGCTCGATCACTTAGACGGCGATATGTCCGCAGTCTCTGCGTGCTAATGAACCTATATGTATGTATGTCTGTGTCGTATGTTCCGAATAGAAAATTCCATTTCTGAAACCGATCCGGACCATACTTGGCACACATACACTTCGGGCCCCGGCGGGTGTCATAGGCTGCTTTTCGTCATCGATCCATATCGATTTTATCGATTTTTATCGATTTTTTTGCTGAGTTCACCTACGGGGCTGGTAGTTGGGACAGGAGGGTAATCGAGCATGGGGATTCCGAATACAATATTGGTTTTCAGGATTATCGATTACTTTTATCGATTTTATCGATTTTTTTGCAAAGTTTGAGCTACGGAACTGGGAGTTCGCACAGGGGGGTAATCGAGCATGGGGATTCCGAATACAATATTGGTTTTCGGGATTATCGATTACTTTTATCGATTTTATCGATTTTTTTGCAAAGTTTGAGCTAGGGGGCTGAGAGTTGGCACAGGGGGGTAATCGAGCATGCTGATCACCCCCCTGTGCCAACTCTCAGCCCCCTAGCTCAAACTTTGCAAAAAAATCGATAAAATCGATAAAAGTAATGGACGATCTTGAAAACTAATATTGTGTCCGTAATCTGCATGCTCGATTACCCCCCTGTGCAAAATCCCAGCCTCGCATGTCAAAATTTACAAAAAATCGATAAAATCAATAAAAGTAATCGATAATTCTGAAAACTAATATTGTATTCGGAATCCCCATGCTCACTTCCCCCTATGCCAACTCCTAGCCCTGTATGTGAACTCTGCAAAAAAATCGATAAAAATCGGTAAAATCGACATCGATCGATAACGAAAAGTGGACTGTGACATCCGCCGGGGCCCGAAGTGTATGTGTGCCAAGTTTGGTCCGGATACGGCGGAGCCGGGTAAGCCAGCTAGTTTTTTATATTTTAGCAAAGTGATGACTCCATAGCGACGTCGTTCCAGGCCAACATATTATATATCAGTCGGGAGCTCTTCATGAGTGCAATCCACCTAGACGGTTATCTTTCAGATTCATGCTCATGTACAACAATTATTACACTTTGATATTCCTAATTTTTGTTTTTTGCAACCTATTACATTGACAAAAAATTCACTTCAGGATCCATTTTTTTCTGCATCCTATCGAAAGCTCATTTAAAGATTTCTTTGACTCAAACTACACTAATCTCATTACTATAACAATTATAATGCTTGAAGCGACACAATTAAACATTTAATTCGTTTATTGCACTCCATATACCGCAATAAATTTACTTGCGACAATAATTCATAATCATACCAAATTATTTACAGGTGTAAGCGCCAAATAAGCTGTCCATCAGCGCCATAAGCTGTTCCAGGTGAAGGGGGGGGTGGCCCAGGCTCCAAAGTGAAGGGGGGGGGGGGTGAGCTTCGGCTCACCCCAGCACCTATGTTTGATAATGAGTATTGTGCACGCAAAGGTGTCGCTAGTTATCTGGCCAGGCTTTTCCTATGCTCATGAAATACGTAGATAGGTGGAGCGAAAGCCCCTGTCACATAATTAGTTCATGTTGGCCTTGCGTTGAAAGGGCGTCGTTGTGACATGCGCGATGTATATGAGAAAAAAGAGTTCTTTTGCTGAGTTTCAAAGATTAGAACCACTGCGGAACCTCCATGTAGTAAAAGAAAGGTTCATAAGTGCTTGAACGACTTTGTCCAGTAACGGTTACATATACGACCTCTCTCTGACAGGGAAGGATATTACAGTCTGCCCCAATCCCAACCAGGCCAAAATTGGCATGGCGGGAGACCGCGTCGCTAGGGTTTTGCGGTCACGCCCACGGTCTGCTTCTCTGCTCTCTCTTCAATCTTTTTGCTCTCTCCGACAGCGCGCACATGCAGCGCAGACCGTTAGCGCTGCGAGCGCGCAAATTTACGCCGACGGTTCGGCCTGATCCCGATTGGAGCAGACTGTACTGACCCCGGCCATTCTAATGGTTTCTATGTCAAAAAATGCGCCTTTTAATACTGGTTCGATTACTGTTTTCCATATCTGCGAAACAGGAACCTGGATGGAGTTATAATTATTTTTTCAACAAATGGATTGTCCTACTGCGGAGGGTGAAAATCATTAATAAAAAGTTTTCTTTCCTCTTCAAATGCTGAATATGATTTAGATAAATATAAATACAAAGTGCACCTTCCAAGATTTTCCTTAGTAGCTTCAAACGGTAAAACAGACCAAATTGGGTGATTTTAACTGCCTGAAAGTACGCAAATTTTTTTTCGAAAAAAGTTCATAACTGCCTTCGTATGATCGTTTCGCAGATTTCGAGCACAGATTTAGAATCAGCGTTTTAAGGTGCACCTTATGGTATACATCGCATAAAGGATATTCGTCGGCGATTGCCCCAACTAGTGCAAACACACCACGTTGGCGTGCTTTTTTGGAGCCTTTCCCGCTTGACTTTAGGACATGAAAGGACAGGGAAAGGACAGGGATGCTGCGAGCTACCACGTTCCCGCATGCTGCAGCGGTACTGTCAAGTTGGAAAGGCCCCAATAAGGCACGCCCAAAATGTTACGTGACGCAGATCAGAGATACAGAGCAAGGGTAGCAGCAGAGGCGAAATATGCTAGCTTTCGCAAAAATCAAGGTGCTATATATAACTGGCGCTATTCCAGCATACCGACCCCAAAAATTGAAAATCTCGGATTTCGCTCAAACTCGGTATAGGGGGGTTATTCGATCCGCTGATGCCAAATATCATATCGATTCCGTGCGATAGCGCCATTTTCCGGAGGTTACGGTGGGTATACGGTAGGGGGTCAAAATCACAAAATTCTCTAAAACTTGGTGCAGGGGAGTTATTTGACATGCTGAACACGAATACGATATTCATTCGTTACGGTAGCCCCTCATTCCGCGGTTATGGTGGGTATACATTACCAGTATCACCGTTAGATCGAGATTCAGGGCTTGAAATCTCAGTCACACGTCGGAAATTTCCTCTCCCTGCTTTGCTTAGGCAAAAGCCGCCGCAGGGTGCATCACGCGCGGCGGTGGGTGTGGAAAGCAGTGAATTAGACCCTCCTACAGTATACCCACCGTAACCCCGGAATGAGGTGCTACCCTAACGAATGGATATCATATTCGTGTTCAGCATGTCAAATAACCCCCCCCCCCCCTGCACCAAGTTTCAGAGAATTTTGTGATTTTGGATTCCTACCGTATACCCACCGTAACCCCCGAAAAATGGCGCTATCGCACGTAATCGATATGAGGCATCAGCGGATCGAATAACTCCCCTATATCGAGTTTGAGAATCCGAGATTTTTAATTTTTGGGGTCGGTATACTGGAATAGTACCGTATAACTTTATAATCGTGTACCTCTATAATGCGACTAAAGAAACTGCTATCGAAAAGAAACCATGCGAAATCCTATTAGTAGCCGGTCGTGAGATCAGCGCGACCAAGGCGTTGTTCCACGTGTTCTACGCGGCGTTGCCAGTTCTTCATCACTCCGACATTGCGCACCGTCAAACTGCACGATTTGCCCTCGATTCTGAATTCCGTTTCATTTGAGATCTTTACTTTAGCTTGCCATTTAGCGTCATAGATAGTCTTAGACATGCCTGGTGTATATTTCTGAGCTTTGATTGCACTTTAACATATCTCAGTGCAATTTGAATCAAACTTGTTTCCGATTTAACACCTTCTGGTAGAAAAGGATACCGTCTGCGTGCTTTTGCGTATTTTTCACGGTAAACGTCGTTTCCATGGTGTAAGTCGCAATCACACCAACTTTTACTTTTTGAAAAAATGTTGAATAGGGCTTCTGCTTTAGTTTTGCCATAAAATACATGCACATCTTGAAATAACTATAGTAATTAGTTGTATTAATACATATTTCAGTTAAATTGAATGTATGAAATTTTATGCTATAATAATATTGCAAATAATAGTATCATGATCAGTAATAATTTATCTAATTATTATATGTTCAACAAGTCTAAACCGTTCATCATCTTAGGCCCTGGCCAGACTTCGCTCAAAAGCGCCCAAAAGCGCTCAAAAGCGCTCAAAAGCGCCCAAAAGCGCTCAAAAGCGCGCAAAAGCGCCCAAACTTCTCTAACCTCTCCTCACTCTTTCTCATCCCTCCTCACACGAGAAAGTGAAGAGACACCAGAGAAATTTGGGCGCTTTTGCGCGCTTTTGAGCGCTTTTGGGCGCTTTTGCGCGCTTTTAAGCGCTTTTGGGCGCTTTTGTGCGAAGTCTGGCCAGGGCCTTATGTTAGTGAAGACAGCGTGTAATGATTAAGCCATCGAACCTGACTATGAAGTTTTTCTTGTGCTCTTTTCAATTTTCATTTTGCTCGTCAGTAGATTACTGTAATCAGCCTGCTCATGGAATCGAGATGGATATTGTTTGATCTAGTGTTTCCAGTTCGTGATACACAGTTACCTCTAGTAATCATTTTTAGTTTTAAAAAATTCCGATCATGCCTCCCCAGATTTTCCCGGGAATCTGTTCCACTTCACCTCTTGTTTCCTCCAAAAGGTTTCTTTTTGAAATTTCTTCAGCCTTATTGAATACTGTTGCTCAGGTTTCTTTTTTTTATTGGGAAATTCCGGGCACTGCACAAATAATGCCATCTCACGCATGCCGTCGGTGATTTTTTCTATTTTTTCTTGACAAAGCGGTTTTTAGGCCGCATGGCCAACATACGAGCAGTATTTTGTTTAAGTTTGATACTTTTACATGATGTTTTCTGCGTTCACCATTGGAAGATTAGCGACGACAAGAAACGCATCGAAGCTGTGGTGAGTCCGAATTTGTGTTCTTATACTGTTTTAGCTTCCCTTTTTTGTACTTTGAAAGGGCTCCTTGCCTACTCTTTTATTAAGTTAATTGTCTTCATAGCTCCACGACGATGAATTCCTTCAGATAAACGCGGGGAATATGGGATGTACGTTATTCTGCCTTTTTAGCCCGACTCGCCATACACTCTTGCTTATCCTGGTTCCCTTATCGAGTTTCTTCGGCAGGTGGAAAGCGTAAAGAAATTCGGTAAAACTGCTGATGAGCTGAACTCGGTGTTGGTAGGTTGATTTGCGGTTGTTCAGATTCATATTCCGTTCTTATGTTTCCTTTTGATACCTAGAATGTTTTTCATTGTTATTCTTTATGAAGTGTTCAGAAATCCATAAATGATCGTGAACTGCGAGATGATCCAAAACTAGAGCAACGTCTTCGAGTCGAAAATGAACACTGTAAAATGTCTGGTGCCATTGGGCTGGATCGTTCCAACTTTAAGACGTCTTATTCAGCCGAGCTTTGTCCGGACTTTCACAAATATTATGAAAGGTAAGTTTATTTTGAATGCGACAGATATGAATCTCCCTTTTTCGTCTTTTCTCTTATGTTTTCGCGAGTATGCTGTTGTTACAGCACACAGTTTGCTCCAAATGGATCAGTTTCGAACATTTTTCTGTCATGATCGGTCAAGAACTCCAACACTATACCTTTGGTCTTAATCTTTTCTCGCAAAATGACGTACCTTCGGTTTCCCCGTTCAACCGAATAAAGCAAAAGTCAAAAAATCCAAAATTTACTTTGTTTCGTCAAACTACCTTTGGTAAATTCATTTGGTCTAATCACTTACTGCGACCGTTATGTTCAGATACACGGCATTTGTGAAGGAGTATTTTGATATGACACCTGATGATGAGAAACTTTTACCGCGGTGTCGACAGTGGCATCAAGAAGGGCAACTAAGAGGATTGCCGAAGGTGAGGCTCTAATAAGTCGATCCTTTCCCGACCTTGCTAGCCATTTTTAGGTTGAAAACGAATCGAAAATGAACATACGAGTACCAGATTCTGATTATGCCGAGATTTTCAATGGTTATTTCCCCCGCATTAAGAAAATCGCTTCTGCATCCTCGCCAGAGTACGGCGCAATCATCGCAGGGCTTCTCTCGAATAAGCTTGATGTAATTCTTGAATTTTCGCTCTTTTACATTGAGATGCTCATTGTCTCAATTGAATATACTAAAACATTATTTCAAGACAATCAGTGCTCATCCCTATCTTCACCTAGCAGCAGCCGCATATTGGAGACAAAATGGCGATTTGAATGAGGCTTTAAGTTGCTATAGGACTGCTGCGGTTTATGCGTGAGTAGTTTGTATTTGTTTGTTGGTTTTTGTTTTCTTCGATTTCCATCGTTAATCGTTAATCTTGAAGTATATAATTTCTAGAGAACAATCTGTAGTGAAAGGCGAAGAAAGTGCACAAATCAGCCTTGATGCACTTCATATCGCAGCTGCAACACTATTCAATAAAGCAGATCTTCCAGATTATGCGATAGCCATATTGGAGGTTTGTCTTTATACACGGTTCTCTCATGTACCATGTTATCTTTTTGTGGAATTTGGAGTTTTTTCATTTTTCCTTCCATAAAATTTATTTGATGATTTTATCTCATTTTTTCTTGTGTTGTTTAAGCGCAGTTTTCTGGCTTTTAAGTGAACGCCAAATCTTTAGCACTCGTTTGCGGAGGACGATGCTACTCCTCGATCACCATGTGTGTCTCTAAAAGCGCAAGCTGCATTGGCTGATGCAGCATATCTCAAATTAGATGCTACAAAAGCTCAAGGCATAGAAGTAGAGCAAGTGGCTGATTTCGCACGAGTAGTTACCTACTTTTCAGAGCCTTTCATGAAAAAGCTGGTAAGTATTATGTTTAATGGTTTTAGCTTATTGATTTGAAGTTGCCCTATAATCAGCTAGTGCCACCAAATGATTCCAACTACGTCGCGGAGTTGCTGAAGTTACACGAAGTTCTTCTGAAGAAGTTGGGTGCTATGAGTTGTCAAATTGACCTCTTTGTGGAGTTGGCAAAGCAGAAGGTGCGTTTACGAGTAAATATGGTTTCGTTGATCGTTTCGTTTTCGCTTATGCCTTTGGCTCGAAACAAAATGAGGTTTTTTCCGTGGAATGACGGATGCTTATGTTTTTGTTGAAGTTTTTGCCTCCGTGCTATTCTTAGTCTGCAAAGTTATCAGTCTCTAAAATAAGAAGGAGCTAATGTCAATTTTTAGGAGAATCTTGATCATCTGGTCTCAGAAAAGTTGCGCTTCAACGACATATATGGCGATCAGGTAAGCTTCTTCGAGCGTTCTTTATTCGTTTTTAACTTTCATTCAATATTCGAAGTGCTCCTGGTTGAAATGCTCGTCATTTAATTTTGAAACTAGTATGGAACTTGTTTGCCGACCTTGTTATTTAATTTTAAAATCGAAGCTACAGTCACCCGTGGTCGTCCAGAATCCTTTTTAGTTGAAAATCGCTGACCAGATAAGAGAGCGCATAGTGAACGAGAAACTGCGGCGTTCCATGGTATTGGGATATGAGGAAGCCAAGTATGGATACAATCCATGTGAGTCATCTTTCTGCTCAAGTTATTTTCTAGATTCTTCTCTTCGATTACAGACAGAGTGTGCAAGATAGTCAGTGCAAAACGCTTTCCTCGATCTAGTCATCCGGGTAATGTGGTACAAATATACTATTGCGAGGTGACTGATCCAGTTGCTTACGAAGAGTCAATGATGCCGTTAAGAAAGGCAACTGCTAAAAACAGACCTTTGGTATGTTGAACTAATTGTGATGGGAATTGATAGAACGGTTGAGATTTTAGCTTAACGACACAGCTTGGCGTGTTGCTGAAGTATTCGCCAAGGACAAGATGTACGACAAGAAACTGGAATCACTGAGAGGGAAAGCTCCCCTAGGGCCTCAGATGCCGCGGAAATACCCATTAGACAAGTACGCGTTTTCACTTCTTTTGTCAACTATGACGTTTGTTGATGATTTATACCTTTTCCTTGTTGAATTTGCAATTCAAGACTAATCATCTCATTTTCTTTTTTTTGCAATGGATAGTCTTTGGTCCGTTGCTGACACAAATACTGCGATTGGTCTGAACCTCAACAGCTTATTTGGAGGCGCACTTCATTGTTACGTACGATTTTAGTCTCCAAAGTGAACGCGAAAAAAATCCATCGTTATATCTGAAATTTTTTCTACAAAGGTCACTCTTAAAGGTTTCTGTTTTTTTTCTGCCATTTTCGCGAACCAGAAAAATCTACGTTTTCTTGCCTTCAATCTAGAATATAAGTTGTGAAAGATGACATTCTCTTAGCTTTATCGCTATTTCCTGATTGCCGATCAAGGCCATCATTTCAGTGCATCATGGTCCACAGTGAAGGATCGTTTCTGGCGTCGCGCTGATTGGCCAAATAGTGTAGATTGTCAGGCAATCGTATCGCGAACGGATATATTCAATCAGAAATGGTTTCCACAGGTCTTCATCAGCCCAGAGAACAAGGGATATGTGTGGGTAAACGTTACTTGCATTTTATCTCAAATCGCTTTGGTTGCAATTCTGTTGGCAGACGGTTATCAGAGCTTTAATTGGTTCAGCATCGCTGATTATCTCACTCGCGGGATTGGTTTGGAACCGCATGAGGATCATCCGTTACCTTGGCGGGAGCCATATTGCAAGCTAGTGGATATGGTTGGACATGAACTTAGTGTTGTGAGTGTTCCTTTTACCATTTTCTCGGTAATTATGGTGAAGGCTACATTTTTTGGTAATTACGGTAAAGGATGGCTTGTTCACAATGCTTCTGCAGTGACATTGTATGGGTATTTGAGCGATATTCTCTGAACATGGGTTCATCTGTCTTTCGATAACACTTTGTAAGCGGAAAATTCTTCACTCCGTCTCTTTAGTTCACCGGAATCGTTAGTGCTGTTAACACACGACCCTCACCTGAGTATGCAGAAGTCCGTCTGAAATCTGTTCTTGTTCGACTTGCCGATCGCATCATGGAGGATATCGAGATTGCGCAAAGAATTCGTTCGATGATGGAGTATGTGAGTTATTTTTCTACTATTTTCATTACGGTACCTTTTCTGCTGCCCGATATCTTGTTAACTATTAACAGTATTAGTGTCTTGTTTTTGTCAGGATTAGTGCTAATAAATTATTATTATTATCCAGAATGTTGGCCCAAGATGGCTATCAACGAATTTGGCTGCGCTATATTGGCGAGTGAAAGGGAATCCGAAGCAGGCGGCATTTTGTTTGATTGAGGCAATTTTGGAACCGGTGAGTAGCGAAATTTTTGTCTTTTGTAAAGAGTCGATGTGATCATATCTCAGAACGCATATACCGATATTGCTTTCGTCCAGCTGGCACAGGTTGTCCTCAGAGTTACTGGTCAAAGAGGAGATCCTGCAAAACTCTTGCATTTTGCAAGCAATGCGGATCCACAAGAGGTGGGCTCAGATTTTACTAGATTTATTGGCAACTTGGTAATTTTTTCCTTTATTGTCACGATGCTGTTATAGCCACTCGTCTACTGGCTTCGTGCACGTCTTGCTCTCTTGTCGAGTGATGTTGATGAGGCGCTGAAGTTTCTCAAGTTATCCTTAGACAGAGACCCGTTCAATATGGTCGTCGCCGAGGATTTGCTGAAAGTCGCTTGTAGCGGCAAGGTAACTTGTCGTTTGACTTTCTTTTCTGCCGCCCTTTTCCTTCTTCTCATTTTACATTTTTCTCTTATTTCATTTGTTCCATTGCTCTGTGATTTCAATTGCATACCGATTTACAGTCATCAAAGCTGGTTATCTCGTCGCGTTTTCCAACAGTTTGCTGCTCACCTGTAGTGCAGAATGCTGTGTGTTTCAAGGTAATTAGGAGTTATCTCTAACTTTTTTTTGGATTTACTGTTTTTCCTCATTCTTCTTGAGCTTATGAGGATTTTTTGCAGACTGGACACAAGCGCGGTGAGCAGTGTTATGTGGTAGATACAGAAAGCGGCTCTGGACGCTTGATTTACAATCGTTGCAATGGAGTCTACACTGTAGGTTTTTTCTCACATAGAGTCATCTACGAAGCATAGAAGTCGAATTGTTTCAGGGAGCCAGTTATCCAACAGCTCCGTACGTAAATATAGTTTCGCCTTTCTTGCCGATCTATAGCACAGGTGAGTACGCATTGCCGAGTTGCTATGAAATTAAAGCCAGTTTCTATCAATGTCAAAACATTTCGGAAGAATATGAGATTTTTAATACTATAGATTTGAATGAGATAGGGTCACTCATTACAGAAGGTGTTTGTGGTTTTCCCCTACATATATGATCCTCTCAATTTTTTTTCTTAGTTTCGAAGCGCGACGGGCCACCGTTTACTGAAGACGAGAGCAGCGTCCAGACAATCGACACTGAGGAGTTACCCCTCGATTATGGCGGCTCAGCGGTAAGCGCTATTTCTATCTTTCTCCATCCTTCTTTGTTTTTTTTTTATACTTGGAAGGCGATTGCTGAAATGCTCAGAGCGGGTCCTAAGCTTTACGATTTGACTGATTATAGGCCTTCTTCGCCCCAAGGCCAGTAGAATGGTGGACTCGTGCCAAGAACGAAATGCGATACGTAATAGCGAGTGGAGAAAGTGACATCGATTCTTGGGAGGAGGATGTAGAGAGTGAGTTAGCCGAAGTGCCACCGGTTAGTTGATTATTTAGATTGAAACAACTTTTTGGAAGGGGCAATATTTCTAGAAACCGCTGTCATTCCTGTGGATCAAGGACCGCAGAGAGATGCTGCGCTACGATGCAAAACTTCCACCACTCTTACCATCACCATCTATGCATCAGATCAGAAAAGGCTTATCATTGTTTCCGCCACCTAGACAATCTCACAACCTCTGCAGTGGAGTAAAGAAAGTGATTGCAAGGAATATTACAGTGTTGTTTGAGAGTATAACTGCCATTTTAGCTTTCAATCTTGCTCGAAAATCAAGTCTCAACCTGGGTATCGGTGACGGCAAAAGGTGAAGATATCGCTAAATATGTAGACCTGAGAGGACCAGTTCCCGGAGTGGCTGGCTTGCAACCTGTGTGTCCATCTGTCGGTAGGTATTCTTTCTTCTCATCTGTGAGTTTTTCTGGAGCGCTAATAGTGTCTTTCATTTGTTGATTCAGATGAACGTGAATATTCTCCTTTATTGGGCCTTGATCATCTCCCAGCATTCGCTCTCAGTGACCAGTTCTTGTTCTATAAGCCTGAGAAAGCTCTTACAGATGTAGGTTGTAAAAATTTTTTTGTTTTTTATCTTTTTTATTGCGTTCTTATTACTTTTATCATTATCCTTATTTTCATCAGTTTATTCTCATTCAATTCATTTGTATTCCCTCCTCTCATAGGCTCTAAAATCATTGGGGAACGAAAGAGATTCCATCGAACACGTATCAGCCAGGTTGCACACCGCTCTAGTAGCGAACGGAATGGGGAAAAGTATGCTCTGATTTTGTTTTGTTTTTTATACTGACATTTTATTTTTAGACGGTCAAACGGTAAACTGGCTACTCTGTGTGCTGTCTTCACTCTACTGGCGAGTTGTCGGTGATGCACAGAAAGCCGTAGGTTGTCTACAATGTGCGCTACAGACAGCGCCGCAACACACGAGAGACGTCGCATTGGTAGGTGTTTTAGTCTCGCTTCTTATTACCTGGATAGTTGGTGTAGTTTAATTGACTTATTTTATTTAACCGATAACGTTAGTTTTCCTTGCGGTGATGACAACATTTGCGCGTAAAAATGTCTTAGAGCTCAAATGACCGTCATTACGCGCCACTGTTGTGCATTGCCATAACGCTATACATTTTACATTAGACGCATAATACATCGAATTAGGCTGCGCCTCACTTTCACTGTGTTCACAGAGGACTGGATGTGAAATTTAGTGTCAGCATCATGAAATCATGAAATTTCTTTTATCGATTCAGGTATCCTTGGCAAATATCTGCCATCAAGCTGGGCTTCTTCATTCTGCTCTCATTGCCGCAGGGACAGCTCTTTCTGCTAGTCCCAATCTCGTAGCAATTCACTTCACCATCGCAAATATATATGCTTCTATGGTTAGTGAATTACTCGTATGAACGCCTTCAGAATCCACTTTGTTTTTAGGGTGATTACCAACGAGCGCTCGAATTCTATTATTCGACGTTGTCACTACAAATGAATTTCGAACCAGCGAAAGAAAGAATCCGTGCTATATATTGTCATTCTGGAAAGAAGTTTGATTTCCAAGCTGTCTGAATTTGCTTGTTAAACAGAGTTTTTTTTTTCTCTAGAAAAGGTTAATCATTGCCTTCACAGTTCGACAAAGTCGTTATCTTTTCTGAAGAGTTCCTAACATTGCATATTTGTCACATTCACTGCCGCATTTTTTCGTTTTTACGGGTTCTTATAGAGATTACAATGAATTTCTCGTGATATATCTCCTCCTCTCTATATGAGAATTTCTCCGAATTAGGAATCCCGACTTTGAGGGTGACCTGCAATTTGTGCACCTGGTGTTCAAGGAAACTACAAAATCTAGCGGGGTTGATGGCAATGTCTAATAAGATTCTAGGTCATGTGGTCAATCTAGAAATCGATATGCAGTCGGGAAATCGATATATTGATCAGGTATTGCTTACCTTGGATTACTGTGGCTGGACACACCTAGAAGGTGCAAATAGATACATCCTCGGTTGCTGTAGAATTACCAAAGACTGAAGGCTAGCCGTATGAATACAAATTTGGATAAATGAGTTTTTTATGTGAAAAAAAACAGAGAGCATACTGTCTGTGGCGGGTCCTCAGGCGAAAATACAGTCCGTCGTGTGGTAGATATGGTAAGGGAGCGAGATTAAAGAACTTTGGCGGTGATTTTCGGGAGGTGAGTGAATCGTTTGCGCTGTTGCTTGGCATTCTTTCGGCCCTGTGCTGAGGCTTTAAATTTTATAAAAATCTTTCACTTTGGAGTCAAAGTTGCAAATTCAGCCCCAATCAACTCATTGATGTCGATCATTTTTGCCCAACGCAAGATCATCTTCACCGGAAATGCTTGCTAATCTCTCAGCAATAAATCATTTCCGCTTACTCTACACTCTCACGATCACACGTTATTGCGCGAAGCTGTCAAATATTTTAGCCAATGCAATTCGTATCAGTGTAATTGCACCTGCTCAACGTAATTAATGATCAATCTCATGGAAAAAGAAGCAGCAGTGGGAAAGGTATGCAAAGGAAAGCAAGCTTATAGCAAACAAGCAATTCAGAACATTTAGGAACCCGTCATACTTCACCGAAAGCGCCCAAAAAAGCCCAAAAAAGCCGGAATAAGCGCGAGAGAGCCAGAATGCAGAATCGTACTTTTGGTAGAATTCTGACATTTTTTTGTGCAGACGACAGAAAGTGAAGGAAAAAGACTCGGTTACGAAGTCAACCCACATGCCTTAGCCTCAAAACGGAGGGGCATTTCGGCTTTTTCGGGCATTTCTCGGCGAATTATGACGGGTCCCTCAAACTGAAAAAAAACTGCTGAATCACGTTGGATGGGGTTGTCTTAGAGCGTAGATCAAATACCAAAAAGTGTTGAACTGACAGTTCTATATCCTCGAATATGTCTCAGTGCACTAGAAAATGTTGGGGTTATTACTAGACATATGTAGTTTCCGAAACTGTGGCTATTGCTAACTGATTGCTATCTAATTTTATGCAGCAAAATTTTTGAAAAAAAAACCACATCGATAGGAAAAAAAACTTTTTTCTAGCATTTACGCTGGGATATAGAACCCTACCTATTTTAAAAAACAGCATTTCCTGTCCTATTCAGAGATCATGTGAGGCTTGATCAAGCCACAATGATCAATCAAAGTCGTCCGGACCACCAACGACGCAGCTGAATCCTCCGGCTCCGATCCGAGAACCCCGTCATAGTGCATTATTTAGCGCTGCGTGATTTATAATCGTGCAGATGGTGAGCAGCGTTTCATTTGGCGACGGCGATTATGCATTTTCGGCCATCCGGCCACTTCCATCACCTCGGACTGCCATCACCGATTTGCATGGCTTAGTGTGTTGCTTGGACGTGTCCTTCGCTTTTCGTATATATTTTCCTTTGATTTTGAACTAGAAGTTGAAAAATTGGGTAAATAGCGTTGTGGGCTACATACCGTAGTGGTCCCACATAATTTCGTAGGGAGGATGAAAAAATTTCGATTTTTCTAACCAAAGGGTGTGGCACTCGTAGCGCACTTTAGAACTTTTTTTTTGTTGTTTCTGAGATCTTTAGCAGATTTATACCGTTGAGTTTTCAAAGCCAAAAATTGTTGTGCAGAGCTAACTGAGATTTTGCAGAATTTTGAAAGTCATGTTTATGAATCAAAAATAAAAATATCTTCTAAGACAAATTGCTTGCTGAGCTTTGCAACTCATAAAGGCTATTTTGAAAGTTTCTCAGAACAAGGGGAGGGGGGAGAGGGAGGAGTTATAGCTATAATATGATTTTTGCAGGTAGTGTAATTGCATCAAATGTTGATTTTTCGGCATGGAAAGCGATCCTTTTTGACCGCAAAAAAGGTTTTTTGTAATCTTCACATGTTACAGCAACAACATATTCGTTTAACTTCAAGCCCTTGGATTCATAATATCCGAATATTAATGAAAAAATGGGCGTGATTGTGAAAATCAAAGCTATCAGGCGTTGGCAAAAAAATTTGCAACGGAACAAAATTCGGGAATCTTTCATCGACATAAATTTTCTTTTTTGTTACGTAGATTGGTCACGCTTTGGCTTCTGCAGAAGGCAGCATGCTCAGTTTTATAAAAACGAGTTTCAGGAAATTTGTTGAAATTTGATGCTGCCTAGCGAGAAAATGAGTTGCAGTAGGGTATTTTTAAAAATACCTTGGTTTTTTTTTTCAAAATAAATCATCCTGTTTTTTTACCTAACAACAATATATATTCTTAAGCTATTTTATGCAATTTATTAGCTGTAAAATTCATCTTGAAGAGAAAAATAACACAGGCTTCTGAGACTTTTGTTTTCCGACAGTGTTTTTCGGTTTCTTTATCTTCGAGTAGGTCCAAAAAAGGTAACTACTCCAATTGCACGGTTCTGAATATAGGCCTATGTACAACATTATGATAGTATGCAAGAAATACTAGTACATCCTTATAAAAATCATATGCAAAGTTTTCCTACAATTTTTAGAATAACTCAGTTTTTGAAAATTTTTATTCCTCTCTAATCCAACATGGTGTCCCAAAAAAGACATCAACCATTTGATCGCTAGTGATTGTTTCGTCCAAACAGCTTCACCAGGCTTTCGGGTACTGTATAGGGCTGGCTTCAACTTGGATTTGCAATAGAAGACGGATCACCGATCTCTCTACATTACTGTAAGCATTTTTGAAGAGTTTTGCGCCTATAAAAGCATATAGTGTCCCAGGCATTGTTCGAAAGTTGGAAACTTTGTTGCTAGGATATCTACCGCTGATTCCATATACGAGCTTTCCGCTTCACTGTAATTTTGGACTCAAAGGTTATAGCTAGTATGCTGTGGCAGCAGTGGCGGAAGAAGGGGAGTGGATGGGAAGAGGGGGATGATTGGATCCCAAAAATTATTAAAAACGGGTTCTGTAGCAAAAAGATCGGAGCCAACCATACAACATTTGACCCGTATCAACTGAATTAACAGAGTGTTTGTTTTTATTATGTAGTCTGCAGCGATAGGAAGGTCTCATTTCTGTGCCAACAACACTAATTTGCGAAAGACTAGTAAGTAGAAGAAGCAACCCCTATTTGTAAGATTTTTAATTTAACCAACATTGATACATCCTCCTGCTTGCTGAAATGAGTGAGAACCCCTCCCCGCTCCCCCGAAGGATAATCAGAGTTCTGCAGAATTTGGAAGCACTGTCATTCTTTTTCACCAATACTCACTTTGTATGCTAAAATATTCGACTATATAGTATTCCCGTTCGTCATTGATTCCAGGTTTCTGTGTTGTTGTCCGAATTTTTTTTTCTGATCAAATCTGATGGCTTACGGTTTTTATACCAAGAACTTTGAGATTTGACTCGAGCACTAGGCTTTTGCTGGAATTGCTAGAGAATCTGAGATAATGAACGAACATATTTTGGATGGAACGTGCATGTCTGCTTGTTTATTTTACATCATACTACCAGACATCGTTTAGACAAGAATTCAAGGATCCATATTTTTGTTTGGTTTGATGCGATTATTACAAAGTGCCTAGCTTTATTGGAGCAAATTTGATACTCACAATCATAAGCTAAAACAAAACATTTTGCTGATTTCGATTCTTATCTCTTTTTCAAACTGTGCTCGAAATTTTTTCACAACTAATAAATGACTAGTATGAACTTCCGCCGTAAATGCTTTAACAATATTTAGCACCGTAAATGCTTTAACAATATTTATTCAATATCAGCAACCTTGTAGAGATCATCGCGTACCGTCACGAAGATAACAAATGCAGAAGGAAATCCTTGCATCTATGGCAGGCCCAGACTTATCCGCCTCGCTTCATCTGCTTCCTATTGGTTATATCGCTAGTTGACCAATAGCGAAGCGGCAAGTGGATGACCCGGATTGGTACTGAGCGTATAAGAATGTGAAGTATCGTATTTTCGAAATCATCCTGGATCTGATATCCCTACTTATTAACTTTGGAGCCTACCCGAGCAGTTCTCAGCAAAAAATTTAGCAAATATATGGCATTTAGAAAATTTTTAGCTGTAAGATTTTGTGTGAGCAAGATTTTTGATTAGCTTTATCGCACAAGGTTCCGTGATCTATACAGTACACAAGGCATTGGCATCTTCGCTGTAAATATTGCCAATTAGTCATCATCTCCCTTCGCGCAAATACATCAGTCTCCGTGACACTCGAGGAAATTAGATGCTTTTACAGAGCATCTGCTGCGCATCGGTCGCGTCTATGGGGGCCAGCCCCCAATCCAAGACAGACGTCGACCTCATTGTCTCCGATGGCAAAATGGAAATCGATCTCGTTTTGCCACCCCTACCGCTGGACGGGTGGGGGGGGGGGGGGGGGGAGGAGAGGGGGGAGAGTCCTTCTTGACCCCGCAAAACTGTCCACACCCCCCCCCCCCTGTCCATCTCCGTACTTACTCATCGTTTTGAGATTCTCTATAGCGATAAGGCGCTACTGCGCTCGTTGTCACACGCTTCATTGCTCTTATGGAATTCATAGAACAAACTCTCATGTCATAAAAATCTCGCACTTGTGATGTTCTGACACTTGTCTTTGCCCCCCCCCCCCCCCCTCCCCCGTGTATTCTTTTCATTTTCTGCCAAGCAATGGCCAAGCCGAGACTGAAGAAGAAAGTTCATTCTTTTCTTCTTCAGTCTCGTCATAGTTGACTTGTCCTTCGTGCCGTTCCCGATCGGCTGCTAATTCGATGTCGCTGAAAATTGGTGTGGACGAGTTGCATGGCGCAAACAGAATCCAATCAGCTGCAACCAGTTCTTTATCGTTGTCAGTATCTGTGTCTTCCGAAACCATTGTTTCTTCTACAGATTTCCTCATCGTCGGTTTCGATCCAGTAGAAAATTTGTATTCCCAAAAAAAAAAACACCTTTTTAGGAGTGCAAGTTTTTTGAGGAAATGTGCCTGAATTTTTCTCACTTTTCTCCAAGATCTTGTTTCCGCAGACAGGTACCTAATTTTTTTAAAGAACCATTATAGACCTGTTTTTAACATAAGGGTTAGTTCCACTTTATGATTCACTGATGACTTTTCCACACTCCTCCATTTCATTCTATTAAAGATTATTATCCAGTTTCACCAATTAAAGTATAAGCAAAGCTATATATAGAGAATCGTTGTGCCTATCCAAAAAAGGTAAATAGCGAGAAACCGCGCGGCTCCCGCAGCGAAAGCGCTTACAAATCTAGCACCTTTACGATTACTGGTTCACTATTATTCAAAATTTAGCTTGCTCAAATCAAAGTTTTTCTATCGATCAAAGTTCGGAAAATTGCTACAAACATTTCAAATATCTGTGCTGGAATTTTTAAATATTTCCTTCAATCGTAACTGATAAATTCTGAATTTTTCAAAGATTTTTGAGATCTTTGACAAAACACGCTTTTTCAGATGTTTTCTTCTTTCTCTTCCCTCTGTCTTCCATCTTCAGATTTGTTTGATGGATTGCAGCTACAATATGCAGCTCTAATTCAGTTTTTATGCTACTCTGTTCTCTTCAGTGATTAAAAACGAGTCGGTATTTTTTCTCAGAACATACACCGACAGAAGTTCGTCCAATCTTTCCGAATGAAGCGGTGGGTAATGCTTCTTGACGCATCAACGGCCCCAAAAATAATGGTATTTGCCATTCCCCAGCAACTTTTCGCTTCCCTTTTGAGATTCCTTTTTACAAAATTTCCTTTTTTCGAAACCTCCAAAGCCATGATTCTGATAAGTTTGTTTAGTATATAGCTGAGATAAATTATTGCTTTTCTTTGGTTTTTGCTATTTGGCCGGTCAACCTTAATCAAACGACGTAACTACATATTTTAAAAAGTAGAATTTAATTTCTGATGATGTCTGAATGAGCACTGGGCACTGGGGCAATGGGCATTCACAATTAAAAGTATCTAAAAATTTTTCTTCCAATCAAAATCGTCACCCGTTAACTTTTACCCATTCACTCATTTCACCTCATTTATTTATTTATTCATCACTTATTCGTTCATTCCCTCATTCATTCCTCTACCAGTTTTCTACAAGCATGTGTGTTTTTTTTGCAGAATGAGACGCAGCGTAGGTTTTTTCTGACTCAAAGAGGTTCCTGCCCCTTTGTTGTCAGCAAATCCTCCGAAAAACTGGGTTTCCATAAACACTGCCTCTGCCTTCATTGTTCTCATGCTTTCTGATATCTTTTGCACTTTGAAAGTGAATCACTTACGCCTTTGTAAAAAAAGCTACTTTACTAGTGCACTCTGCTGGTGAAAGTGGAATTCGATGACAGCTATAGCTACCATGAAAACCAGTTCCTCGCAAATTATGACCATTGTTGAACCTTTTGTCAATGCCCTTTTTCGCACATGTCGCTCAAATTTCTCTTGCCGTGGCTTTTTTTTAAACCCATCTACTTTGCTAATTTGCCCATAATTATTGATTTAAGTGTTTGTTAGTATTTTTGTAGATTTTTACATACACAACTCGAAGTCGATTACTTATTGCATCGTTTTAAGTGCACTCTTGTCAAATTTACTACTTAAAGGCACCGTCTACCCAAACTCGACTTAAATGTTTTGGTCGTTCCGGGGCTTCTCGTGTCTCCGATTCCGAATATGAAGTCGAGAATCCTCGAAAACCCCGTCAATCCCCTTTCCGAGAAGCGATTTCCTGGAACGGTAGGCGGGCATTACTGCAAGGGGCGAAGCCGACTTAGGGTCCTCATGTCTCTTCGCTATTCCAAAGCGATTTCCTCGCTTTCGAAGCGACATTTTGCATCGCGACATTGGCTTGATAGGGCAAGTGTCTATCAACTATGCTATCGTAAGTTGCCATAAGCTCAACCCCCCCCCCCCAACTTGGAGTGGACGGTACCTTCAAACTACGCTGCGGAGGTAATGCTCCTTTAGTTTATTGCTGCAAAAATCTTCGTCATTTAGCAGAAGTTCCGCAGCAGTAGTGTAGTTCTGTATTTTTTGATGTCTTCCCCGTGACCCCGTTCTCTTCTTTCCTCATTCTTGAAATTAATAACGTATCCCAGCATCATTACATCTCGCGATGTCCTGCGGAACTTCCGCTGATGTCTGAGCGGTGTGGTTCTTCTATCTGATGGGGTGTAAATGAGATAATCAAGGAAATGAGCAGGAATTTGATTTGCTTTTTAAAATTTTCGCGTGCACATAACCCCGAATTTTGCAAAAAAAAATTTCTTCGGGGGCGTCAACCATTTTTGAAAAGTTCGAAAAATTATTATATTCAATTACAAGTATAAATAAGTCACCTGCACATTTACTCATGTATGTAACTTTCAGAGGTCGCACCCCTCTCCCTCGGTACGCCACTGACCCATATATTATTGCCCGAATGTATGATTTCGAAAGAATTTAGTGATTTTTTAATTTTATCAAGAATTTCAAAACCAAATTATTTGTTGAAAAATTATTCATTTATCTTGACGAAAATACAGTACTCGTAAATTTATTCAAATTTATTACATGGTTGATCCCTTTCGATAACATTAGGCACGAATTTTTTTTCGATAATTCATTCTATGTTCCCTCTTGCAAAAATCAATTTTTCTTTTCAAATTGTCAGAACTCAAGGGGATTTTTGTGTATTGATGTAAACTTCAGTCCCTTTCTATAGCGAAACACACTGCAGAATTCCCTCCCCCCCCCCCCCCCTCATCCCGCGATCACCCTCGTTTTTCGATGAAAGATAGTTTGGCACTCAAAATATAGCGAGTTGCCTTCATTGAATAAATTCTTGAAGATGCTACATGTTTACCAGCGTAAACGAAATATCTTGTGGGGGCATAATCGATTCGTACAAACTTGAGGAAATCTATGTATACTTTTGACGCTCGTTGAAGTATTGTTTTATTAGTTGCTCTTTCAGCAGGATTGCTCATTCACTGTACAACTTACTCATCAAACAATGTATTGTCAGAAAAGTATAGTCGCTGCTGTAGGCACATTCCATTCCTTGTTAGTGCAGCTGCTACGAATGGTGGAATGAAAAAAATTTGCACACCATCGTGCGCATTGTTTTCATTTTGTAAAGAAATTGGTTCCTTTTTACCCTTTCCATTCTCCCCTTCCCCATCTTTTCTCTACTGTGTTCTTCTTTTATTTTATCCACCGCATATGGTGACCTACTGTTATCATATGGTCAAATGTTATACGTCGGCACTTGCGCACAGCCCATTCCCCCCTCCTCCTAGCCGCAGTGCATTTTACGCCCCATAAAATTCGACTCGACTACCATCCGAGTCGAACCGCAGCAGCTGTTTGATTTGAATGGTTTTCGCTTTTACTGTGTCGTCGGTCTTTTATTTTATGATGTTATTTATGGAATGGGTAGTGACGTCGACCCAATTCTTTTATTTGCTTTACTGTACATTGTTGCGGTCCAGCTGCGCTGAATTCTGTAAAGCATTTGGTGTAAGTCCTATGTTTTGGTAATCGGTGTTATTTTTTCAAATTCAAAAAATCAGGAAAGCTGAATATATAGAACTTCAGAACTTACTTCTCGTTTGCGAAAGGGAAGAAATAATTTTCTTTCATAATCCGTCCTCTTCCCTCTGATAATGTTCAGTGCAGTTCAAGCAGAACAAATCAGCTATTTTATATCTAGACCTTTATATTGACTTGCAAAGCTCAAATCAAAATTTAAACAATTTTCAGAGGGTGTAGCATATAGCATGCGTTTTTATCGCCTTTTCCGGGCGTAAGTTTGAATTTTTGAGGCTTTCTTATAATCCTAAGCAGTTTTCATTCATACAGATTCATATTTTAGGTTATATATAGACAGATTATATCAGATTATTTGGAATATGTAGTTTATTTGAAGCTCGGTTTTTCAAAAATTGACCAACTATTCACAATTGCTCTATGTGAAAAAAAAAACTGAAAATTATACTTTCCCTTTTTGGAGATTTTTCTGTTTTTTTTTTTCAGTAGTCTTAACGGCAGTGTGGAATAGGTAAAAATATTTTGCAAGTTGCTAAGAACTGTCACTCAGTTATTCCTTCCTATGATATCGCAAATCGGAAAAAACTTTCAAACTTGCCAAATTTTTCGCAGGCCCTAAGAACTTCTTTTACTAAACTTTTGAGTTTTAAGGTAGTCAAATCATTCTAAATCCGAGCTTCCTACGTTTTCCTTTTGAAAAAAAAATCTGATTGTGTGTACGCTGATTAATAATCTTCACAATTTGAACAGAAGTCGAGAAACATATTATTAGTAAAAGTTTTGATCAATCAGAGAGGTGAGTAATAAGGCCGGATTGGAAAGTATCAAAGTGTGACTACCCTAATTTCACGCCTATAAGGCGCGGGGGATTTTTTTTTTCGAAAATCAACCAGCCCAGACAAGCCAAAGGACTTTACAACTAAAGGACCCTATAACGTGCTGTATTTTGCTTGAGAGAATCGTGCGATGTAAGGATTTCTTTCCGGAATACAGTGAAGCGGCTGAGCGGTTCGTTTGAAAAATCAAAAAGGTGTGCCTTAGGCCCCGGACAGACTTCACGCGATTTGATCGTCGCGACTGAATCGCGACGAGACAACTGTTACAACAACGTTCCATGCCGATCAACTTGCATTTCGGTTGTGATACTTTTCCAGCCCGAAATTTTTGAATGTGAAATGAAAATGAATGGAAATGTCGGCGATTGAGTCGCAACGATCAAATCGCGTGAAGTCTGTCCGGGGCCTTATACGCGTGAAATTAGGGTACTCAAATTGTCGCACTACCATATATAGTGTGGACCCCGGCCAGCTTCCCATATGTACCTCCGCGCCGCGAACGCAGCGCATGCCTTCAGTGCTCTTTTCGCCCCAGGACCTATTGGTTTCTATGCGTTCCTCTCTTTATTAACTTTGTTCTTCCTGTAATCTCTTTCTTTCAGCGTTAAACGGATCACACCAACTGATGATGACAAGTTTTTACGAGCCTCAAAAGTCTTGAGAGCTT